TTCTACAGAAGCAATGGATCGCTGCTGGGGACGCAGATACAACTCACATTCAGATCAATTAGCCTGCAAATCTGGGTGCAAGATGAATATCTGATGCACCTTTTCAAATTGCTGAGACCCTGGTTTTCTGTCTCACAGATGAAAACCCCAGATACATTGTCTAAAATGACAAGGGAGACCAACCTAGGCTTGCTAATTCTCAATTTAAAGCAATAAATGCTGATAGACAAGGTTGAGAGAAGTAATGTCTCTTGGCCCAAAATGTATTTTAATTTAATTTAATTTATTTAATTTATTTCATTCATTTCATTCATAAATTAATTCAATTAATTTATTCTCCAAATGTCTCATGTTGGGTCACCTGCAACCTTTTGTAGATTTGGTGTCATGACAAGACAGATGGGAAGAGGAAAACTGTCATAGCGAAGTGCAGCGTTGACTTTTGAGGATGAATCATGATGCTTAAAGACGGATACAAAGTCAAGAATAAAAGACCTTCGAGAGCAAATACTGCAGTGCTGTTTTGGTTGTAAAATTTTAGTGTTTAAAAGTAGCTGATAAGGGTGAATTAGAAAAAATCTGGGTAGATACGCCCTGAAGGAAGTCTGGCAGCCTGACTGGACAGCACAGGCTTTGCGCTGGAGGAGTTCTAGTTGTAGCTCCCAGCACTACACCAGCTACTGGGAAGAAAATTAACTCTATCCCAGCCAAAACAAGGACTGAGGAGCATGCTTCACTCCTATCCTAAGCCAAGCCAAGTTCTTTGCTCGTTAAATAAATCTGCATTTCCTCCCCTTGTTGTAAGTGATAATGATTTTAAACCCTGGAGATGAAAAAACATACCCACGTTATTTAGAGCTTCTTTTTTTTTGGTGGGAGATTAATATGCAGAGAGACTATTTTTTTCTTAAATGTGGAGGTGTTGGTCCTGCAGCAGCTTCATTAGGAGCTATTTGCTGCTTTACGTTGAAGCAGGGACAGCGTGAATCAACCAGCAATGATTTAACAAGTCATAAGAGAAGGTTGCCCAAGGCCTCTGGCTGGTCTCCTGACCTTGTTCCTGTAGTGGTGGATTTTGCTCCAAAGGCTGAAGCTTGCCATGCCCTGTGGGAATGCCACTTATTTCTCTGATACATTAAAAAAATCCTGCAAAAGCAAAAAAGCGGGTTGTTTCATGCTTGGTTTGGGCACATGAAGGATTTACAGGCTCCCTGGAGAGCACCTCTAACAGGAAACTTTCCCAGCTGCATTCAGCTTCACGTATAAAAACAACTTCTCCCCAACCTTGGCGTGTTTTTGGCCCAAAGTGACTGAAAAAGGGATTGCAACTTCAGCACTTCCCCAAAGAGGGCAGAAGGGCCAGCAGTCTGTGCAAAGTTTTAGTTCATACTTTCAATTCTTGAAAAAGCTGCGAAGCATTTGCAGAAAAACAGGTGGCTGCTCCCTGCCCCCCACCCCAACAAACAGCAGAGGACATCAGCACAGCCCGAAGGATGGGCTCCATGATGCCCCATAACAAACTAAAAAGTGTTTTATAGGACTGCACAGGTTTAAAATTACTAATATGCAACTTCTAGGAAAAGACCTATTCGGAAATAAGGAGGTATTGGAAATAAAGTGGGGACTGCAGCAAGTTATAGGGAAAAATAAGCATTAGTGATGGCGTGACTCCAGCTCCCCAGCATCACGCGCCGTGCTCGCATGGCTGGCAGCACTGAGGACTTCTGAGCCAGGTTGTACAAAGGATAGGACAAAAATTGGTTTATTTTACCTGTGTTATATGTCAACAAAAGGTCACAGGCAACACCGTGAAGTATAAAATCAAACAGCAATGAGCAGAGCAAAGAAATCCTGTGTGAGTCAGAGAGGGAGGTTAGGCAGGTTGTAAGTGATTAATTTTTTTTTTTTTTATTTTAATTGCTAAAGAATAAGTAAAAACATAATGACGGGTTTTACTCTTTGCTGGTTAAAAATCATCTGTAAAGGCAGGCAATAGGCCAAGGGCCTTTGCACGCAGGGTATCAAAACATAAATACACTTAAACATAGCAACATCTCCAATTTTACTGCATAAATACTGGGGTATACATTCAAGTGTATTAAATATTATGTTTCTGATTTTTTAATCACTTCATCAGGAAGCCTTCTAAACCAAAAATCAGTCTTCAAAGTTTGAATGTGACCAAAAAAAGATTGGATATAAATGGGATCAGGGAAAAAAAAAAAAAAGTATACTTACTGATTTTCTGGAGAAAATATATAACATACCTTCCAAAAAATAGAACGCAAACACTAAAGCTTATGTAAAAATATGAAAAATATTATAATATCATAATAAAATATGTAAAAACCCAGCAGACAGAGGGATCTCACCAGCTGCCAAGGGATGTGCTTGTTACCTTGCAGAACTGCTCTCAGGCAGCGGGAGGGTTTGGAGCAGCCTTGTCTAGGCACCACAGATGAAGCTGGGAAAAAAATGAAGATTAATCATCTGCTTTTGTTCCATCCTGTTTGGCATCTGCCACGAAGCCTGAGGTCCCAGAAGGCATCTGAAGCTTCCTGAAAGTCTAGAGGAGCCAGTGAGCAGTAGTGCATCCCTCTGGCCTTTAGCAGAGCAGCCTTTCTGCTCCACCTGGGCACCATGGGCCATCCCTGCTGCTCGAGGAGGCCTCAGGGTTCCCCTTTTCAAGGTTAGAAACAAGTCCCGGGTGATTCCCTTTGCCAGGCTTTGATTTTCCACACTAGCTGCTGGATGTCAGTAGATTTTTGATCACTTATTGTTTTCTATTTCAGGCCAAGCAGTCTGTCCATTTCTGAGGGCGGTGGAGGGATATATTTTATCCCCACCTTCTCCCAGAAAGGGGTGAGAAAGGAAAAAAAAAAAAAAATGGATGTTTTTTATCATTCAGGAGAAGCTTTAGCATCACTGTGGTTTAAAACAGAGCTTGAAACTGGCTCTTAAAATGACCCATCTGTGCTGTTCATCCTTCTGAAAATCAGCCAAAATGAGAGGAAAAAAAGTCAGTTAACACAGTAGCACAGTGAAAACTTGCTGGACTTCCAGATGAAAAACTTCAAGGGACGCTGGCAGGATGAAGGAGAGATGCAGGCAGAAAGGAGGCTGGCTGGAGGTGGGAAGCAGGCAGGACAGAGGTGGGATGGAGCCAGGAGAGCAGTGGGATGCAAGAAGGTCGGAGAAGCAGAATTAGGTGGGATGGAGGCAGGATGCAGGGAGGCTGGAGGAGGGAAGCAGGAGGGAAGGAGACAGGCTGGGGGAGGGAAGCGGGTGGGATTGAGGAGGGATGGAGGTGGAATGCGGGTGGGATTGAGGAGGGATGCGGGCAGGTTGGAGGTGGAAAACTAGATGGGATGGAGGTGAGCTGGCAGAGGGGAGCAGGCAGGATGCGGGTGGGATTGAGGAGGGATGGAGGTGGAATGAAAATGGGATTGAGGAGAGATGCAGGGAGGCTGGAGGAGGGATGCAGGTGGGATGTGGGTGGGATTGAGGAGAGATGCAGGGAGGGTGGAGGAGGGATGCAGGTGGGATGTGGGTGGGATTGAGGAAGGATTCGGGCAAATTGGAGGCGGAAAACTAGATGGGGGGGGAGGCAGGCGGGCTGCAGAAGGGAAGCAGGAGGGAAGGAGCCAGGCTAGGGGAGGGAAGCGGGTGGGATTGAGGAGGGATGGAGGTGGAACGTGGGTGGGATTGAGGAGGGATGCGGGCAGGTTGGAGGTGGAAAACTAGATGGGATGGAGGTGGGCTGGCAGAGGGGAGCAGGCAGGATGCGGGTGGGATTGAGGAGGGATGGAGGTGGAATGAAAATGGGATTGAGGAGAGATGCAGGGAGGCTGGAGGAGGGATGCAGGTGGGATGTGGGTGGGATTGAGGAAGGATTCGGGCAGATTGGAGGCGGAAAACTAGATGGGGGGGGAGGCAGGCGGGCTGCAGAAGGGAAGCAGGAGGGAAGGAGCCAGGCTAGGGGAGGGAAGCGGGTGGGATTGAGGAGGGATGGAGGTGGAACGTGGGTGGGATTGAGGAGGGATGCGGGCAGGTTGGAGGTGGAAAACTAGATGGGATGGAGGTGAGCTGGCAGAGGGGAGCAAGCAGGATGCATGTGGGATTGAGGAGGGATGGAGGTGGAATGAAAATGGGATTGAGGAGAGATGCAGGGAGGCTGGAGGAGGGATGCAGGTGGAATGAAAATGAGATTGAGGAGAGATGCAGGGAGGGTGGAGGAGGGATGCAGGTGGGATGTGGGTGGGATTGAGGAAGGATTCTGGCAAATTGGAGGCGGAAAACTAGATGGGGGGGGGAGGCAGGCGGGCTGCAGAAGGGAAGCAGGAGGGAAGGAGCCAGGCTAGGGGAGGGAAGCGGGTGGGATTGAGGAGGGATGGAGGTGGAACGTGGGTGGGATTGAGGAGGGATGCGGGCAGGTTGGAGGTGGAAAACTAGATGGGATGGAGGTGAGCTGGCAGAGGGGAGCAGGCAGGATGCGGGTGGGATTGAGGAGGGATGCAGGTGGAATGAAAATGGGATTGAGGAGAGATGCAGGGAGGCTGGAGGAGGGATGCAGGTGGAATGAAAATGAGATTGAGGAGAGATGCAGGGAGGGTGGAGGAGGGATGCAGGTGGGATGTGGGTGGGATTGAGGAAGGATTCGGGCAAATTGGAGGCGGAAAACTAGATGGGGGGGGGAGGCAGGCGGGCTGCAGAAGGGAAGCAGGAGGGAAGGAGCCAGGCTAGGGGAGGGAAGCAGGCAGGATGCGGGTGGGATTGAGGAAGGATGGAGGCGGAATGCGAATGGGATTGGGGAGGGATGCAGGCGGGATGGAGACAGGCTGGCAGAGGGAAGCGGGTGGGATGCGAGTGGGATTGAGGGAGGGTTCGGGCAGGTTGGAGGCGGAAAATTAGATGGGGGGGGGGGGGGGGGGGGGGGGGAGGGGGTGGAGGCAGGCTGGAGCAGGGCGGGCGCGGGGCGGGGAGCGGGCAGGATGCAGTCACGGCGGGGGCGGGTCGGGGTGACTCAGCCGGGAGCTGCCCCTTCCGTGGGCGCCGGGGGAACGCGGAGCCGCGCGGGGCGGTGAGTCCCGGGAGGGGGGCGGGCACCGAGCCCCGGGCGGGGGGGGGGGGGGGGGGGGGGGGACCGGGCATAAGGAGCGCAGCGGGGCGCGGGCGCGGGAGCTGCGGCGGGGGCAGGTAAAGGAGTGGGGGGGGGGATAATGCGCTGAGCGGCCCCGCTTGGGGTAAGGGGACACGCGTGGGGATGGCGGTGGGGATGGGGCACCCCCTCCCACTGCTGCTGTGGGGGGGGGGGGGGGTACGCGAGCCCAGCCCTGCGCTCAGGGGGTGCTGCGAAGCACCCCCCTTGGGGCAGCAGCAGCGTTTCCCACGTTTTCCAGCAGCGTTTTGGGTTGTTTTTTTTTTTTGTTTTGTTTTGTTTTTTGGTTGGTTGTTTCTTTGTTTTGTTGTGGGTTTTTGTTTTGTTTTGTTTTTTTTTTGGCATGGAGGGTGCCGGGGGGATGCTTTGCGGTGAGATTTGTTGCAGGAAAAATCGCATTAACCCTCAGCGCATCTGCAAACCTTCCCGTAACCGGCAGGGGAGGAGAGAGGAAACCATGTTTTCATAATGAAGAGGGAAAGAAAAAAAAAAAAAAACACAACAAAACAACAGAAACCCCAGCCCTGCACATCAGCTGATGTTAAGGAGGTCGGTTTGGCACCTGCTGAAGTGCTTCTGGGAACATCCCATCATGTGTGGCCAAGCTTGGGTCTGGCAGCAGGACCGTGGCTTGGAGATGGCGCTGGAGAAAAGCTGCCCGGCGTCTGTCGGGTGTGCAATATATCTGTCGTCCATATATATATATATATGTCGCGCTCTCGGGGTTGTGCTGCAGGCGTGATGCAGCAAAGATCGCTTCCTCCTTGCGTTTACCACCAGGTTGCAAAGTTGAGGGTGTGGATGAGGGCAAGGAGCTTCAGGATCACAGGGTGTCTGCTGCAGCAGCTGAGGTTTTGTGCAAGAGTCTGGTTTATGGATTGGTGTGGAAGAAGAGAGAAAAAAAAAAAAAAGGAAAATCAGTTCAGCTCCGTTTGGGAGGAATAGTGGCGTTTCTGTGAATGTAAGCTGTAGGGGTGAGCACTGCAATTTGTCTCAAGATGTATTTGTTTTGCGAGATATCTAACCTTGTGCTAATGATTTGGCTTTCCTGGAAAGGAATGGGCATGGGGAAGAGTGCCTCGTGCTTTTTTTTTTTTATATATATATATATTTTTTTTTATTTTTTCGAAAAGACAAAAACATTCAAGCTTTGCTAATGCAGTAATAGCTGCAATGAAGTCACCAGGCCATGAGTTTGGTGCACGCAAGTTAACCTGGCTAAGCTGGACTGGCATTGTTTACAGGCTTGCTTTATTGTGGCTTAGAGTCACGCACAAATACTGGCAGCTAGAATAAAGGACAAAGCTCGGCTTGGGTAAAGGGCTGCTTGCTGGAGGAGGACACATGACTTGGGCTTTGCTGGGTATCTCTCACCCTGGAGGGGTGGGGGGGTTATTGCGGGGAGGGTGGGACAGCTCTTATCTTCCTCAAACCCTTGGAGAAGGGGGTGTGGGTGCCTCTGTCAGTGCCTGGAGGCGTTTGGCCCAGACAGCAGAGGAGCTGAGAGGTGCTTCAGGGCTGTGACTTATCTCAAGGCCTGACCGGTCTGAACTGAGTCATATGAGCTGAGCTTTGAATAGCCCATTTCGGGGTTGGGTTGGTTTTTTTTTTTTTTTTTTTTTTTTTTTTTTTTTTTGTTGTGTTTTTTTTTTGTTTGTTTGTTTGTTTTTTTTGTTTTTTGTTTTTTTTTTTCTTGATTGTGGAGAGAAATGCCTGCTTAAATGGGACTTGTGGGCTTTGATTTCTGGGTGATGAGGAGAAGACCTTCCGTGGTGGGACTCTGGAGAGGTGAACTGCAGAGGGTTTTGCTGTTGCGGGCGCTGTGCGTCTCCTTCAGCTGCTGGGAGGAGGCTGCGGGACCTTCCCGGTCCCTGGCATAATGCGATCCAAATAGTTGGAGCTCTGTCCCTGGGAAAGCAGGCAGGGAACTACCTCTGGCTCCAGGATCTCCTGGTCTGGAGGGGTGAAGAAGGCACCTGGGTGATGTCCCCTCCTCCCTGGCTCTCTGCCTGCACCGTGCAGAGGGACTGCGGGGTGGGTGGTGCAGCGCCCGCCGCAGCCATCTCGCTTTGGGTGCTCTCCTCCCTCCCATGCTGCAGCTGCTCTGAGCAGCTCATGTTGGAGGGCCTTCAGCCTCAGTGCTTCCTCCTCGCTTGCTGGGAGGAGGGGGGAGTCGAGGGCAGCACTCAGGTGGCCCAAATTTCCTCATTTTTAAGCCTGGCTGGGTGGTGAGAGTCCTGCCCAGGGTCACGTGTGCTGGTGGGTAGCAGCTTTCTGGAGTTATTTCTTGCTCATCCTTCAAGAAATTGCATTACCAGAAATTTTGTATCCCAAAGCAGGAGGCAGGGGGCTTGTCCTGAGCTCCCAGATCCGCAGCCCAGGAGGAGGTGGAGCAGCTCGGGGCGGGGGGGCTCTTTGCAAGCCCCAAACATCCTCCTGCCAGCTGGAGAGGTTCCTAGAGTGAAGCTGCTGTGTCTTAAGAAGTCCAACAGCCAAGCTTTGCTTCTGTTTTCAGGCTAATAAGCTGTGGTGGGATGTGGTTTGTGCAGACAGCCTTTGCCAGGGTTATCCCCAAGCTGCGAGGCACCTTCAGAGACCTGGGGGGTGCAAAGGGAAGGGGTTGCTGGAGAAACCCTTCTGGGCTGTTTGCCGTGCAGAAAGAACAGATATCTGTCCGGTGCGGCAGCTGTTATGCAAGTTTGGCTTTAGTACTGCTTTTTCAGTGGTATTTAAAATGGCTGTGGAGTTTTTTGTTGGTTTTTTTTTTTTTTTTTTTTTTGCGGGGGGCGGGGAGGGAAGCGTGTGCGGAGGAGATAGCAGCAATGGGAGAAACACGAGTGCGATAATGCAGCTGTGGGAAGTGTTTTACTGCTCGTATCTGCAGGGCAAAGGTGGGGGGTGATGGGGGAAACCAGCAACCTCTGGTCCCTTGCTGCGTCGCTGCTGGGGTCAGCGTGCCTCCGGCTGCATGTGACTTGCTGTCGGTGGAAATCTGTCCTGCGAGTCCCGTGCCTGCGCTCTCTATATATAGATTTGCCGTACACGAGGTGCTGGCTAAAGCTGGGGGGGGGGTGGGGAGTAGGGAGGAAGAAATTGCACGAGCTGGAGGATTTCCCCTTCCTTCTCCACCCAGGTCTTGGGATATTCTGTGCCATCCAGCTTGAGCATCAGCTCCCCTGCCCCCTCTTCCACCCCTGAAACTTCATGCTCGTAGGAGACTTCATAGAATTGCAGAATGGTTTGGGTGAGAAGGGACCTTTAAACCTCATCTCCACCAACCCCCCCTGCCACAGGCAGGGACATCTTCACCTAGATCAGGTTGCTCAGAGCCCCGTCCCGCTTGACCTTGAATGTTTTCAGGGATCGGCCATCTACCACCTCTCTGGGCAACCTGTGCCAGTGCCTCACCACCCTCATTGTAAAAAATTTCTTTGTTATATCCAGTCTGAATCTCCCCTCTTTTAGTTTAAAACCATCACCCCTTGTCCTATCCCCGCACCCCCTGACCCAGAGTCCCTCCCCACCTTTCCTGCCCCCCCTTTAAGCCCTGGGAGGCTGCTCCAAGGTCTCCCCGGAGCCTTCTCTTCTCCAGGCTGAACCCCCCCCAGCTCTCTCACGGCTCACAGGGAGGCTTCGTGCCCATAGGAGTCTTGACAAGAGGCTTGTTGGCTGAAACAACCAACTGGCTCCCAGCTATTTGGGTTGTGCTGGGCGACATCCCGCTGGGTTTGCTGGCCGCCGGCCGTGTCGTGGGGCAGATGCAATGCAGCAGGGCTTAAAAGACGAGCGCCTGTCAGAGGGGAAGCTGCCTGGTATCTTTTTTCAGTTTGGTCTCGGGTTACCTGGAGCTTGAAAGTCAGTAGCCGGTGTGGTCTGGTAACCCGAGGATGTGGGCTCTCCCAGGTCTGTCCATCGAGAGCGTGGTGCAAGCAGCCGTATGGATGCGGGAGGCTTTGCAGGGTGGGTTTTGGCGTGTCAGCAAAGTTATAAGCATCCTGCTGAAAACAAAAGTGTATCAGGTGGCTTCTGGCCTCAAAACTGCCTCCCTTCAGTGCTACAGGAAATACAAAGTTGACTGAATGAATTACAGAGGGTTTTGAGTTTGTGGGGGTTTTTTGTTTTGTTTTGTTTTTTTTTTTTTCTTTAAGATTTTTCATTAGAAAAGGTACTTCAATTCAGGCTAGTCACCTATATGGCCATGTTGAAGGGGCACAAGGCAAAAACCGCAGCAGCCTTAGAAATGTATATTTATTTCTCTGGAGCTAACCTTCCTGCTGTGTAAGCAAGGGAGCATGATGGGGACACCAGCAGTGCCAGCGAGTCCCTTGGCTGCGAGAAACCTCTTAAGGAAGCAAATACGCATGAAACGCCTTCCCCCAGATCTCGCCTCTTTGTAGGAGGACACGCGTGCTGCTGAAACTCAACTAGCTTTTGGGCTGAGCATCCCGCTGAAAGCATGGAGAGTGGGAAGGAAAATAAATAAACGGTGAAAGGAGGAGGGGGGAGGAAGTTAAAAAAAAAAAAAAAAAAAAAGCCCCTTTATAGTTAGCTGCAGCCGCCTGGGCTTGTTGCTGGCAGAAAGTAGGACACTCCTGCTGGGTTTTCTTCTTTGGAAAGGCTAAACTTGGCTGTGAGTGGGTGGAGGCAGCCTGCATGGAAATGCGTGTGCATCTCCCGGTCCCCTGCTCCTGCTCAGCAAGCTCTGATGCCGTGGGGCCAGAGAGCTGCTGGCAAGAGCTGTGTGTCCGGCTGCTCGGGCCTATTTGCCCAGAAGGGGTTAAACCCAGGCTTGCAAAGGTGATTACACCTTCAGCTCGCTGAGATGAGTAGGAATTAAAGCCTAAATAAATATCTCTGCTGTTCAGGCTACTGTGTATGCGAGGTCTTGGGTCGCTCCACAGGCTTGGAGCTCTTCGTCGGGTTGGATGTGGGGGTTGGTGGACGGGGAGCTGGGAGGTTTTGGAGAAAGAGGGGAAAAAAGGTGCCCTGGTGTGTTTGCAGAGATCGAGCAGCTCATGGCCCGGCTGCGTGTCTGAGTCAGGCGTGGGGACGCGGAGCGAGCGGTGGCTGCTGGCGTTGGGGGGTGAATTGCAGTTGGGCAATTTGATGTGAATTTAAGTTAAAGGAGGCAGGAGAGCAGAGGAGCCACAGAGCCCTGTGGCATCTTTGGGCTGGGTGATGCTTGTGCTCCTGCGCGGGAGGCTGCGGTCCACTCTTGACGTTTTCCCTGCCTCTCTGTTCCCCAAATTCGGACTTTCCTGGTGCCCTGCGCCAAGGGGTGAGGCTTCACAGCCTCCCTCGTGGAAATCCCCCGTGGGAGGGGAGCACAGGCAGCAGCCACAGGCAGCTCCGGTGCTGGCGGACCCCCCCTCTGCATGGGCAGGGGGTCACTACCACAGGGCTCTGACCCCGACCAAAGTCCCCAGGGCAATGGGCTGGCCAAAATGAGGCTGTAAAGTCCAAAAAATGTGGCTTGGGGTGATATCTTCAAAGGGGAGAGCACTGCACTAGGGCAGGGGCTAGCAAGTCCTCGGGGCTGCAGCCCTGCCTGCACTTTGCCATGGAGGTGGAGTGTCACTTATTCCTTCTCCTACTCCTTATTCTCCATTTTTATGGAAGTAAACACAGCTTTTAATACCCTCCAAATCCCATGGATTTGTTTCGAAAGATATTTTCCTGCTGCTATTAATCCTGCAGTGGTTAACAAACAGGGTTGCCTTGTCCGATTTCTTCTGAGCTGCAGGAGGGGGGTTATTAGTCCGCTCCTGCGTCTCTCCTGACCTTTGGGGTAAACTGGGATCGGGAGGGGCTTTGTGCAGCCACGTGTTTTACCCTCCCACGTGTTGCTGTGATGGTCCTTCTGCCGAGTCCTTGCTCACGGTCCGAGCCTGCCTTGGGAAGGTTTCCAATGATGCCCAAATCTGGCTGCAGGTGGAGCGTCCCGTTCTGTAACCAAGATGTGGCCGTCCGTGTCCATCCTGTGTGTCCTGGTGGCCTTCACCAATGCTCGCAGCCTTCCTTACTACCCTCCTCTCTCCAGCGACTTGGTCAACCACATAAACAAGCTCAACACCACCTGGAAGGTGAGTACTGGGTTGGTTTTGGGAGGTTTTCTTGGATACATTGCTCAACAGTCTCTGTGTGACTCAATAGCTGAGCTTTGGGAGTCTCACCATGGTGGTTGCATCAAACCAGCCTTGGTTCCAGTTGACTTCTCCAGTGAGTTGATGCTGTCAGGAGCTCCTGGGGTGACAATAACTGTGGAGCTTCTCCTTGGAGCAGAGCACTTACGAATTTGTAGAGTAGAAGCAATGCTAAGAGGAGGAAACTCTGTTGGAGGCTGGAAAGAAGAAGCAAGTGTCAAGTTGTACTGGTAACCTGGCCAAACCCTCCTCGGCCAGACTTCTGTGGCCAAAGCCTAGAGTTGGACCTTAGCTTACTGGTCGTGATGCACTGATCCTGGAAGGGCCCGTGTTCTCTGTCTATAGGTAGCTTGGCTCTTGGCCTCTGGGTTTTATAGCAAATGGCAGACACTGGTTGGGTTTGAGGGAGATCTGGAGCACCGGGCTGGTCCCAGCACCTCACTTGGTAGCTGTGAAGAGTCATGTCCCATTTCTCTGTGTCCCTTCCCAGGCAGGGCACAACTTCCACAACACTGACATGAGCTATGTGAAGAAGCTCTGTGGCACCTTCCTGGGTGGGCCCAAGCTCCCTGAGAGGTGAGTGCTGGGAGAATAAGATGATGTCTCTGTAGGAGCTTGTATGGATGCTCCTTTTGTGTCTGGAGTGGGTGAGGGTCTTTCCTGGCAGACTGTGAGTGGGATTCCCCTGGGTACAGCTTGGTGGGCATCTTGCATGGAATTAAGCAGAGAAATACTTGTGGGGGCAACATCCATCCTCTGTCCTATCGCTTGACCAATCGTGTAAGTTGTACTCCTTGAAACTCAAAACACTGGAGGAGCTGCTGACCTGGTCTGAGGATTTCAGGAGTATTTATTCTCCTTCAGTGAGCAAACAAGAAGAGCCCTTGTCCTCCAGGCCACCTTCAGAGGAGGCTGGAGAATCCTGCGTGCTCTGTTTTGTTACACTGATGTTCCTGTAACAGGATTTCCCTCTTTTTCACTTGCAGGGTAGATTTTGCTGCAGACATGGAGCTGCCTGATAACTTTGACTCACGGACGCAGTGGCCTAACTGTCCTACCATCAATGAGATAAGAGATCAGGGCTCTTGTGGCTCTTGCTGGGTAAGAGCATGGGTTGTTTAAGGTCACGTTGATACAGAGCTTGCTGGACAAAAAACATCCTGTCGAGCTTGCAACTGAACTGCATAAATGGGGGGAAATAGGGGATACTGCAGTGTCTGAGCTTCTTGGTGGGCTTCTCCCAGCCAGGCTCATGCTTGCTGCACTCAGTGCCAGAAGGTTGCCTGGTTTCTCTTCCATGAGCACCTCTAATGGTCTTCCCTTGGGTTTTGGGGGCTGCCCACAGGCTTTTGGTGCCGTAGAAGCGATTTCAGACAGAATCTGTGTTCACACGAACGCCAAGGTGAGCGTGGAGGTCTCGGCAGAGGATTTGCTGTCGTGTTGCGGCTTTGAGTGCGGCATGGGGTGAGCTGCTCTTAGTTCTTCTGCACTTAAAAGGTGGGTGGGAGGAGCAGGGACATAACCCAAAGATGCTGGTTGTTTCAGCCCTGTCTCCCTAATGATCAGAAAGCCCCACCAGTGGCTTGTGTTGTAGATGCTGGAGTTAGGTGGGAATGTAAAGGTGACTGCATGGAGTGAACGTCCCTGTGGGCCCCATCTTGCCCCCAGCAGCAGTGGGTGATGATCATTGCTGGATAGAGGGCAAGCACATATTGATGCTTTTCTGTAGACAGTTGGCAACTGCCTAAGCCAAAGGAAGGATCTTTTAATAGCCCCCAAAACCTTGGTTTTCGGGAACAAGCCTTTTGCCTGTGGCTTTTGCAGTTGTTGAGAGCAGGGTGGCGAGTTGAGTCTCCCAGCTGTGTGGCTTCTGCTGCACCTGAGAAGGAGGCACCACTGCTTTTGGATTTGGAGTCATGGGTGCTCTTAGCTTGGTGTCTTGAGGCCTGGAAACCCTGCGGAAGGCAGGGACAGCCTTAAAAATGTTCAACGTGCTGAAAGCTTCCCTTCAGCTCTCCCGGGCTGGTTCCATTCCCGCTGCCTCCCCTGAAATGGGATGGCTTTGAGCAAGCTGGAGCTGGAACTGCTGCCTCTTTTTCCAGGTGCAATGGTGGTTACCCCTCTGGCGCGTGGAGGTACTGGACAGAGAGGGGCCTTGTGTCTGGGGGTCTCTACGATTCCCATGTGGGTAAGTTCTGGCAGATTCCCCTTTGCTTTCACAAGGGTACATCTCTGCTCGGTTACAAGTTCATGTCCTTCAGGGTGCTTCTCTTCTGGTCTGCATCCTTATGGCTGCTCCCTCCTTCAAGCCTTGGCATAAACACCTCTGCTATCCCAGTTGGCTGCTCCTGTCCCCGTGGCCGCTTTCTGGTCACCCCTTTGGGACAAGGGTCCCAGAGCAGCACCTAGTGGCAGGAGACCCATCCAAGAAGGGAGCACAGTAGCCAGACTTAACCCCACAAGCCTCCTACTTCCACGCCAGAAATGAATCGGGCTGTGAATCTTTTGTTATTTCTGGTTTTTGGACCAGTTCAATACACTTCGGGTGAGGGCAAGAGTCTTCCTGACCTATTTCCCCCCCCCTCAAAAAACAACATCCAGACTGGAAACCTCCGCCTCCTCCTAGCATGGCCTTGAGTTGGCTTTTCAATCCATCTTTTCAATCCATCTTTTGAGTCCATCTTTTCCATCACCTTGTCAAGAGGGAGGTGGTGGGAAGCAGGTCCAGAGGGGAAGCCCACTGCTGATGCAGGGGATTTCTCATCTGGCAGTGGCAGATGTGCTCTTGCTCACACCCTACCGATCTGTGGAGTTTCTGGGTCAGAAAGGTCATACCCTTCCTTGAGGCATCTGATGCCTTCTCCAGAATGGCTGTTGGGGACAGGGGTGCTCGGGGACAGCCAGTTCATGCCACCTCTGTCCCCCACAGGCTGCCGTCCCTACTCCATCCCACCCTGTGAGCACCACGTCAACGGTTCCCGGCCACCGTGCACCGGGGAGGGGGGGGAAACCCCCAGGTGTAGCCGGCACTGTGAACCCGGCTACTCGCCCTCGTACAAGGAGGACAAGCACTACGGTAAGGGAGGTGGCCTCCAACATGTGCTCAGTGCACAGCAGCTCCAGATCTGCTCCTAGTGGTAACTTGGTGGGGTTGGCAGGGTTGGACCTCTTCCTAAACTGTTTTATGGTGTTTTTTTTTTTTTTTTTTTTTTCCTGTGCCCTCAGGATTGGGTGGTCCTGGAGCAAAACATAAGCCTGGCAGATGCACGGTTTGTGTTTGCTGAGGCTCAGCTGGGATGGGGGAACTGATGTGAGTCCTCGTGGTGCACATGCTTGGTTGAAGAGCATGGTGCTGAGTCCTGGGGGAGTCTGGTGTCAAATCCACCTCCTTACTCCTTGGTGGTAGCCGGCTCTATGCGTTTCAAGACAAAGTCAGACAGAGCTTTGAGCAACCTGGTCGAGTGGAAGGCATCCCTGCCCATGGCAGCGGGATTGGAACTAAGTGATCTTTAAGTTCCTTTCCAACCCAAACCATTCTATGGAGGATAGGCTGGCTGCTTCTTGGAGATTTGTTTTAGCCTTGAGTAATTTGGGTTGTTTTGGAAATGGGGATATACAAGGGGAAAACCTCCCACTGAAGCTGTCTGGAATAGGTCTTCGAGTACAGAATAGAACTCACGTTAAATCATTCCCTCTGGGAGAGGGATGGTTGGAGCCCACTTTTCCTCCCTGGCTGTGTCTGCCTCTGGAGCAGCTGGGTTTGAATTTAACCTTTAAGTGGAGAAGGCGTCTTGCAGGGGTCATGCTGAGCAGTCTGTCCAGCCATCCTGTCCTGTGTGACCTGACAATGCGGTACTAACGGTGGGACTTTTTTTCCTCCCTAGGCATCACATCCTACGGTGTCCCTCACAGTGAGAAGGAAATAATGGCTGAGATCTATAAGAACGGCCCGGTGGAAGGAGCTTTTATTGTCTATGAGGACTTCCTGATGTACAAGTCTGGTGAGCATCAGCACTGAGGCTGTAGGGAGCTCGGTTCCCTACTTCATCCATAGGGTCTGTCTTTTGTGGCCCTTGTCCCTCTACTCATGCCTGAAAGAAGAGCTCAAGTTCACGCTTGAGTATCTGGTGTTGCAAGAACATGGGCAGATAGCATCTCCTGTATCCACTGGTTTGTAGAGAGGGGGGAGTAGGTGCTTGGGGTGGAGCTGATGCTTTAGCATCAGTCCTTCCTCCAGACTCCACACTAAGCTTCAGGTTTGCGCTTAACCAAAACCACCTTCTCAGCCGTTCTCCGGGTTTGGCTCTCGGATGTCTCGCCACAGGCTGTCAGGGCTCTGAAGAGCGGAGACGCAGTCGGTGCCTGTTTGACACGTTGGTGTGTTGCCTTGCAGGGGTCTACCAGCACGTGTCCGGGGAGCAGGTTGGAGGCCACGCCATCCGGATCCTGGGCTGGGGGGTGGACAACGGCACTCCGTACTGGCTGGCCGCCAACTCCTGGAACACCGACTGGGGGGACAACGGTGAGGCACCCCCAGATGCTACCCGGGGGGGGGGGGGGGGGGGGAAACCCCTTCCCCATTCTCCTTGGTACGATGGGGAGGTTGACTTTTGCTTTTTGGTGTTTCCAGGCTTCTTCAAAATCCTCCGAGGAGAGGACCACTGCGGCATCGAGTCCGAGATCGTGGCTGGCATCCCCAGCACGGAGCAGTACTGGAAGAGGGTGTAACCCTCTTGATCAAACCACAAATAATCCTCAGTCCCCGATGCTTTTAACTGATAGCGGGTTGGGTGCAGAGCCCCCCCTTCTAAGAGACTATAGTTGAGGTTACTTTATTAAAGCTTTTTATCTTTTTTTTTTTTTTTAGTGTTTTTTTTTGTTTTGTTTTTTTTTTAAAATTGTATGGTGGAGCTGGAGGTGGAACTGCTCTCTGCAAGCCCTCTGCTCCTGGTGGGTCGCAGCAATGGGGCATTCCCTGCTCAAAGGACTGCCGGAGGGCTCACTGGCCTCTTGTGCCATGGTATTTGGTTAGCCCAGACCCCTTCCAGCCCAGTCTGTTACTGGGAGGGCAGGAAGCAGACTTGGTGGGAAGCCATGGCCAGGGGTGATTTGTGCACCTCTGGCTGGGTTGGTTTGACTGTTAGCACCTGAAACAAGCAAGGTATATTAGTGTGTGCCTTGAATTGGCTAAACTTAGACCTATTGATGACAAAATACTGACGAACTTGATGTGGGGCTGGCTCTGGCTGGAGCTGTGTTAAGGCCCCTTCATGCCTGCAACAAGTCCTTTGTGCATCGCTTGCTCTGCTCTATCCATTCAGCAGCTTTTTAAACCACTTGTTCCTCAGCTGCCTGCTTTTACTTTTTTTCTGCTGTAGTCTGGGGTTATTGATCCTAAAGAAGGGCCTGGCTGGAGCTCCATGAGCCTTTGATCAAATGTCCTGCAAGCATCTTAAGAGCATGCTGGAAAGAGCAAACCACTTTTCATCCGTGGCTGGGCAGCTTGGTGGGTACAGGGGGGTCAGGCATTGGCAAGGGGTGCTGCATCCAAAATTGGTGTAGTGCTTTGGGACTGCAGGTGTTGAATGGTGAGCAGAGATGAGGGATGTGCCCCAGGTCTGCTGCAGGGAGCTCATGCAGATGCTTGGAGGTACCTTGCTAACTTGCACACAATTGAAGCTTTTTTTTTTTAGCCACAGGTGTTAAGGAGGAAGAAAAAAAACCTTATTTTTGTTACTATGGGGAGGTGTAATAACTGTGTAGGAGGAATCATGTGATTTGCCAACACTAATATAGAGTAAGAGCTTTTTTTTTTTTTAATTTTAAAGCACAAAGTGTATTTCTGAGCTTGAGGCTACAGGCCTGAAATGTGTAAAGCAGGCTCTCCCTTGCACTGTAAAATAGCCCCTTACCTCCACTTACTCAGACACCAGTGAGACAGAACTGTGGTGTATGTGATTGGAACAACTGTGCCAATAAATGATTTCTCCAATGTCTTGTCTCCTGATGCTCGGTTGCTTCTGCTTGGCTTCGAACCACCTCAAGCTGTTCTCCCGTTGTTCTGGGCGTGGTGGAAACCAGGTGAGACCCTTCTGTCTTCATGCCGTGTGGTCAGTCCCAGCCCTGTCCTCTGGCCATACTGGTGACAGTGGGCCCAGTACTGACTCCTGAGCAGCCCCCTGGGCATTGCCTGCTCCTGGTGAGGAGAAGGGTGCTTCAAAATGGACCAGTGTGGAGCCAGGACTGCCCCCAGCATCTCTGCGTGCTGGTACAGAGGGCCTATTAAAAGTTAATTTACTGACCTTTAGCTGTCTCTCACTCTTGTTAAAATTCTACCTTTGGGTCTGGCGCAGAAGGCTTTAGTGTGATGCCTGTGTGGGGCAGCAAGAAAGCATCTACGTTTCATCAGAGCTGAGGGTTTGTAGTTTGTGGTAGGGTGGGGAATTATCAATGTAAAAGAAATTAAGGCTTAGTATTTTTTTTTTCTTTTTTCCCAAAGAAAACTTTAATTTCAACAAGACAGGAAGCTGCACAAAGAGAGCTACCACAAGTTTTTTTGAACAATAGCTTAAAACTATCTACATTGGTACTCCCTCTGAGTAACAGTCTGGCCACAGGGGCTTGGCCTTGCCAAGGCCACCGAACTGCACCTGGTAGACTGAGCTCTGTCCTGCACCAGGACACAGGCTCTCCTCTCCTTCCCAAAGGCAAAGCAGCATTTCAGGGTGATAGGGACCACAAAAACAAAAATCCACCAGCAGTTTCATCTTCTCACCCAAGCTGTTCCCACGAGGAACATAGCCCACTTGTAAATCCAGCCTGATGCGTTTCAGAACAGCAGTGGAAGCCTCTTCCAGTTTGCATGTCAGTCTAACCCCAGAGATTCATCCCAAGCTAGAGTCATAGGGGCCAGGGAAACCTGCCCTGGCCTTCTCAAGGTGATTCAAGCCTTCCCAACCCATGGCAGGGATCATCGCTGCCTTTCGGGGCAGCCAATGCAACAAGGCCCCCCAAAAAGCATCCTCCAAGGGACAGCACAGTTCAAACCCCAACTCCACCACCTTGCAGAGGTACCCGGTGCTGCTCTGCCACAGCCACCCGTCCCCATGGGCTGGAGAAGTGGTGCAGACCCCACAGCAGAGTCAGGCACGGGGTTATTAGCTCAGGGCCATGCAAGCAGCTCCCTCCTCCTCTGAACCACCTCCCCAGCTGCTAAAACACAAAGCTTTGCAAGTGCGGGGTGCCACGTGCTAGAGGGCAGGGAACTGCTGTGGATGGCTTTCAATTAAAGTGGACAGAGCATCCCACTTCCAACGGTATTTAACACTGAAAGGTCTTGTTTCAGACCTAGCAGCCTCCTTCAGCACAACAGCAACGTGAAGGTTGCCTCTGCCTGCTTCCAGGATGTCAACCAGTCTGGGCTGAGGGCCAGAAAGTGGCCAGAGCTTTTTCCCTGGATAAGGAAGCATGTTCCTCTCCCAGCCGAAGCAGCGTCTTTCCAGTGTGGAGCAGGCACTAGAGGCAAGAGGCTGCCTAAGAAAAGGGAGCAAAACCCAGGTTTTGCTCAGCTCTGAGCTGAAAAGGTGTCTCAAATCTCAAGCAAGAAAACAGGCAAATGGAGTTTAAAATCATCCTAACAAAAAAAAAAAAAAAAAAAAAAAATCAGGTAAACTGTCCAAGAGGAAAGAAGGGGGGAAAAAAAAAAAAAAAAATATTCAACCCCAAACAGTAAGACTCCAATTAGCGTTTGTAACAACCACCCAAGCAGATGGCAAGGGCAGTGAGGAGCAGAGTCCGGCAATGCCGCACCTTTGCCTCGGGGCTGCAGCTCACTGACCTCCCGTCCTCGTCCTCGTCCCCCCCCCGTCCCAGGCCTCACGGCCTCCAGGCGCCTGGCCATCCCCACCAGCCGGGGACGAGGAGCCTCCTGCCTCCGCTGCCCGTCCACCGACCACCTCTCGCCCTGCCCGCCCGCTGCCCCTCAGTTCTCGCCCGCCTGGACGTACTCCTCGGTGGCCTTGGAGATGGTGGTCAGGTACTGCCAGCTCAGGGCGGCCAGGAGCATGGCGCACGACAGGTAGATGGGGGAGTAGTGGTGGCGTGACGCCGTGGGGCTGCCAGGCAAGCTCGTGGCGCGGATGGAGGCGATGACCCGCTGCGTCTTGTTGGATGAGGGGTCCGCGCTTGGGATCTTCTGGTAGATCTGGGGAGGGAGGAAGGAAGGGAAGGAGTTACGGTTCCACCCCCCCCACAAGGCCGAGGAGACAAAAGGGGACCGCTGGGTGGAAGAGGAAGCCTTAAAGGCTGCTGTGTCCTCAAGAGCAACCGCAGTGGTGGACGCAGTGGTGGACAGCCATGGAGCAAGGCCCAGCTGAAAGGGATGGCTGGGTGGGGCCATTTCCCTCCAGAGGTGCATTAAGACAACCGGCCTCTTGAGGGCATCCCATGATGGGAGATGGACCACACGGTTCTCGGACACATTCCCTCAACCACACTTGGTGCTGGTGGGCCCTGTGGTTCTTTCTCAGCAATCCTTACCCACCCCAAACCGGTGAGGACAAACCAGTGTCACCAGCAGCCAGTGTGACTGCCAGGAAACAGCCTCCTCCATCAGGTAACCCCCTGGTTCGGGGGTTTTCTTTTCATGGACTGCGAACCTGATGATCTTTGAGATGCTTGTTTCCATGAGACTTAGGGAGACACGTACAAGCACAGACCCTGGGCTAAGGTGTCAACATCCCTTGTCATGGGGTTGGCCAGCCTGCAAAGGGAGCGCTCATAACCCATGGTTTGGGGTCTCCCTGATGCAAAAGTAACACCTTTTTACTGACAGCCCATGCTGGATTCGGGTTTTGAGTTTGTTATTTTTTTTTTTTCCCCGATTAAAAAAAAAAAACCTTGTTTCTCCATGTGAATTTTTAGCTTCCACAGTACCCTGAAGCCAAGGGGTCCCCCTGCTTTAAAAACATGCAAAGAGCTGCCCTCATTTACTGTTGGCCACAGAGCATGAGGAAACAACCATCCCACCATGCTGCCAGCTGCAACTACAGACACAGAGAAAACAAGACTGCTCGCTGGAGCAGCCCATGGGGAGATGATGTACCCTGCTCAGGAGTAGTATGTTGTGGAAAAAGTCCTCTGTGCCTACTCAGCTCAGGGGAAGCCCTGTGCTGTGACAGCTAACTCCTCTGGTTCTCCACCAGAAGGACAACAGGACCTCAGTCTCTCAACACAGGCACAGACCAAGAGTACGTTCAAGGAAAACAACTCAAGCACTCAGTCTGGTCCAAGTCAAAACCATGTGAGGGTCACCATGCCCCGGCACCACTGAAGTAAGGGACTTAAGGAAAGGATTAACAGATTCACATGTCTTCCCAAGTCCACATCGGGACTGAGGACAGGACCAGCCAGAAATTACTCAAAGCAAGCTGCTCGACCTACCTCTTCCACATACTGGTACATGATGGCTTTGACAGCTTGTATATTTGTGGCATCCATCATTAGAGTGACGGCTTGTCCCTTCCGGATCTTCACGATGCCCCTGAACACCTGCCTGTTGTTATAGCAGGCAGCCAACGTGGCAATAGCCATCACCTAAGGAGAAACACCAAGAGGCCTTACTGCATTGCAAGAAGCTTGCCAAGGGAATAACCCTGGCCCTAGTGAAAACAATAGCAAAGTAACTCTAGAGTGAAGCCACAATCTCACCGACAGCAGAAATGGCCTGTACCAGGAAAGAAGGAAGCTAATACTGACACGATATATCCTCCCACACCTCCAACTTCTCATCATCTGGGCTGCAGATGATGAAGAAGCACTTGAAAGCATAACTCACCTGGGGGATAGCACAGAAGTTGAAGACACTTTGGTTTTTCAGGCGGGATAAGTATGTGAGGACATCAGGTACATGGTGAAGGGCGTTGGTGATGAGCTCATTCAGACACTGGACAGCCATATCGATGTTCTCTGGTTTGGCCAGATCTGAGAGCTTCTTTGCGTATCTGCTCCAAACCTAAACATCAAGATAAGGACTCACAAGTTGGAGCGTACATTCACGCCATAAGAGAGATAACAGTAACAGTCTGAGGTCTGTGAGAACACCAAGAACCACACATGAAAGCCTTGAATGATTGGGGCTTACTAAGCTAAAGAAAAGAAGCAGGGGATAGGCCCTGGAGACATGACAGTGGCCTCTGTATATACAGAGGGATTGCAAAAAAGGATGCAACTCATCTCCGTATCTTCTCGAGGAAAGGGAAGGAAATGACACCTCACACATCAGGCTGACATCAAGAAATGCTCTGAGACAGGTGAGCCACATGGAAAAGGGAGAGAAGAATTCTTGGAGGGCCTCAAGAAGAATTGACAAGGATCTATCAGGCACTGGAAGAGCTGATCCTGCCTTTGGGAACAGACTAGGTAGCTTCTCACCCAGTCTTATCATCCCTCATTCTTAGAGCCAACAGAGAGGGGAAAAATCTGCCCAACAAGTTCCTGGCAGCATGGGGAGACATCACCTTGTCCCCACATCTGTACCCAGACAGCTGTAGATAGATGTGGAACTTGTCAGCCAGTTGTCATTAGAAGAACTGTTATTATCAGGAAGATGTACAACCCACAGTAGTGATTTCAGGCGGCACAGCTTTATTATAGGGTCTTAACAAAATTAAAGCAAACCATCAAGTCTCTCATGTTAACTTCGATTTAAAGGGACATGAGAGACACTACAATTTTAGCTGTGCTCCGTGAAATGCATTTCCAAGACACATGTCCTGGGAAGCATGGGCAGTTAGTTCCATCCATTACAGGTCTTGATGGAAGTATGACTGTCAAGGGACACCAATAAATGGTGGGAAAATCCTGGCTTTGGGGATTTCAAAGGAAATTTCACGAGGAACTCCTCTAAGGAGAGGATGCAACTCACTGTATCAGAGCAGCAGCAACAGTACCTTCAGTCTTAGTTCTTTTCCCAAAGAGGCACAGCAGAAACGCTCACCCCAAGGCAGTGTTTTCCCTCACCTCTCTGGGCCAGAACTCCCTTCCCTCCAGCTGGTCCTCCAGATAGTCACGGATGATGTTGGTTTTCTGCAGGAAGAGGCCCATGGAATTGGCCAGCTCTGTGTCCTCCCCGACGATAGGATCTTCTAGCTCTGATGCAGAGAAGAGACGGGAAAGGCCGATCCCCACCAGCCCAGCAACATAGTGACAATACTGTGAGGCACCGAGAGGGGAAGAGGCAGGAAAAATAAAGCGAAACAAAAGGAGCAGTTACAAAGAGCTGCCTATGTGCCACAGTGAGTTTCACAAAAATAATGCTCAGAAGTAACTGACAGAACATTTTCTGCAAGTTCTCACGGCCCTCCCTGGGACGTCTCAGCTTTCCCATGCCCAGCAAACACCTCACCAAGGTGCCGCTCCACCTCCAGCAGCCGAATGAACTTGCCCACAGAGGAACACGGATGTGACGGATCACCCAAAACACATGCTGGTGGGCAACACCAACAATCCACACCATCCGCTCGTTACCCACGGGACCAGCAGTCTCTCAAAGCCTTCCCAAGCCCACACAGCGCCCCTCATCCAGCTGAATCCTCTGCCCCCAGGGATGCTGTCTCCTTTTTCCCCAGAGACAAGGTGGATCCTACTCACGGTCAGTCCACTCCTCTGTCCCGGCTGACTTACCTTATCCCACTCATGCTGAGAGTCCACCTTCTTGTCCAAGAACTCCGCCATCCCGACACCCATCTTGTGGCAAATATCTGAAATCACATCCTGATAGACCTTTGACAGGTTCCTGAACTCCAGGGAGATCTGCAGCACAACCCACCACGAGGTAAAAAAAAAAAAAAAAAAAACAGCGTCAAGAGAAAATAGCAGAACTCAACTTTTATTAAGAAATCAGTAAAAAAAGACCATTTACCAGAGTCTTATCCTGCCCTGGCTGCAGATCTAGGACAACTCCCACAAGCAGAGCTGTTTCAAAGCCCTTAAAGCACAGGCTCAGTCTGTTCTCAGCCTAAATGCTATGGTCTCTGGCAGTAGATCAGACACAGCAACATCTTTGGGAAGGCTCTCTAGCCTTGGACTGTATCACCAGGAGTTGCAGGACAGAACTAGATACACTTGATGCAGAGAATTGGGGTTTTTTTGTAATTTGTGAGAGCACCCCATCACGCCAACCACGGGAAAAGACAAGGGAGGTTTTTGGTGCTCTGGTCTCCTGAACCCTCTCCAGCGCACATTTTGCACAACTGGAAAGGCTTTAAGCAACAGGAAAAGTGTGAAATCCTTCCCCTGAATGTCCAATAACATGATTCAGTGATTCAATCGTTCTCACACTAAAATAAAAATTAAAAAAAAAAAATATTACACCCTCCCCTTCCCAAAACTGTGGAGCATCACGTTTTATTGCGCTGAGCTTTATTCTCCCTCAGTGGGTAGCTACAGCCAGCTCGGGGTGTGTGTCCAACAAGGGCAGTGGTCTGAGGGATTACAGCTCAGTCACCACCTCAGATCCAGGCTCTCCTGACTCTCTCCACAGCTGCTGGCATGTCCTTGCCCTGTGCCTCAGTCTCCCCATAAAATAAGTGTATTGATTCTGCTTCTGTCTCAATGGCTTCTATCCACTACACAGAGAAGCTCGACCTGCAAGTACACCTCTACCAAATATGATTGAAATCATACCTAAACATGAACTCAGACTGCTGAAGTGAATAACACATACACACCAAGATGAAGTGCCATGAACACGTTCTCAAAAATTTTTCTGAAGTACCAAGCCATTGGCGTACCTACCACAGCTCTATCACTATACATCAAGAGTCCTCTGACACAGACATCTCCTATAGTGTATGCCCCTCCCAGGTAGGGCACAGCCACTGTTATCCCAAGGCTGAGCATCAACATTTACAATACACCTCAATTTTTCCAACAATTATCCCATTTCCACAACTAAGCAAAGTCCGGTAAGGGTAGAATAAATTTAAAATGGTAAAAAGCTGAACAAAACAGAACATCTTCAGAAAATGAAATCCTCCTCACTAGAATTATTGTATTTTTTCTTAAACAGAGCTTAAAAAAAACCCTGAAAAATAAACCCACATATTCTTGATCAAAGTGACCAACAGCAAAACTGCAGCATCCACCAAGGGCTGGTCCTTGCGCCCTCACCAAAACCAGACATCTGTGTCCCCACCCAGCAGAGCCCAGCCTTGTCTTCCAGCCACAGCATCTCCTTCTGCTGTCAGCATGAGGGATCCCCTCTAGGATGACTGGCCAGACGGGTTCCCCTTTCCACTCTGCGGGTAACGCGGCACTGGGAGATGCTGCATCTCGGTGCAGCAACGCTCCATCACCCCACTGCTTCTGCTGGGGCTGAAACCTGGCAGGAGGCTGGGACGAGCATCGCTGTTTCAGCTCTGCTGCCTGACACCCTGAGCACCTACAGCACGGAGTCAAGGCCCTACAGCTACATCTGCACCAGTAACTTAAATATTGAGCACAGACTCGGTCACCTGCAGCTACCCCCATCAGCACGGCCCCCGATGTGCTTCTGACCCCAAGCACCGCTTGGTTTCTGCCCCACACTACTTCTCACTTCTCAAGGACAGTCTGGGATGCAGCCACACCGTTCTGCATGCTGAGAGAGCTTAACGGCTTGGACATGGCCAGACTTTCTCCATCAGCCTCCAGGTCAGAGAATAGGCTCCAATACTTTACCTTGCTAGTGGAGATGCAGCCTCTCTGTGGGTTTCTTTTAGAAGGATCAAGAAGGCGTTAGGCAATATTGTTACTAACAGCGAGGGTGCTTTTTACCTTATATGCATGTCAAAGATCTGCAGACAGACTTCTGTAGCTCTAGAGCAGATCCTGCAGGACCGCTGCAAACGCTGGTCCATCCCTAAGCCAGATGCCAGACAAACTTTCCTGTCTCCCTCTGATGGGCCACAGGACACCCAACCCAGGCGTTGGACAACAAATCAAAACACTCTTCAGAAGGCAACGGTCATTTACTCTTCCAATAGAAGAGGCAACAAGCCCCTTTTTAGAGATGGCACTCTTCCACAGCCAGATCACCTCTGGCTCATAGAGTTGCACAATGTTTGGGTTTCTTAGCACAGCTCTGCATCCAGCCCCACGCGCAGGGGATGTAGCTCTTCCGAAGAGCTATGGGCTCACCAGGGACTGAACGAGCTCAGCAGGCACAGGCAGGCATAACATGGAGACAACCATGCACACAAAGGTGACACAAGGCAGCTGAAGCAAGGAGGCGGACGTCTTACCGTTGGGAAGTCCTCGAGCACCTGCCGGTCCTTCTGCTTGCTCTCCGTGTATTTCCACTCTGGTTGATAGAGATAGGAATGAAACTCATGCAGCATCGGGACCTTTACATCTAAGTTGATGGTCATGTCATCCTCTATAGTGTCCAGGGCACGGAGAACTAGGTAGAATATACAGACGGCATGTCTGGGGGCGGGGAGGGAAGGGGAAGAAAAAACAATCATCCTTTACTTGTGATTGCCTACGAGGCAGGAAAACCAGTTTAGGTTAACCACACAGCCTTTGGCAGAGGTGCTGCCAGCTCAACATGACATGCGCTGGCATCACCAGGTCACTGATGCCGTGGAAGATTCAAGCACTTCCAGAACAATTCGCTTTCACGTTTCAAGCATTACGATACTCCATCCGCCGAGCAGAATGGAAAGTGGTGATGCAAAAACCTTCCCAGGCCCTGCCACTGTATCACAGTGCTTCCTACAGTTTGGAAACCAGTTTTGGTTAACGGGTATCTCTCTTTCATCAAATCATAGAATGGTTGGCTTGGAAAGGACCTTTAAAGATCATCTAGTCCAACCTCCCTGTAACGAGCAGGGACATCTTCAACTAGATCCAGGGTGTCAGCTTCCCCAGCCCTCGTGTGGGGACAGTGGCTGTCCCCTGCAGTGAAGGAACATAAAATACATGCATTAGATAAAACAAATGCATTAGAAATCTGCTGCTCAAATCCCAGGGTCAGAGGAACAGAGTCGGGGTGGAAAGCACCACCAGCAGCACTTCCCACCCACCTTGCTCATCATCTCCTTGAACCTCGACTCTGAGCTGCCTCCACACAAACTGCCCATGGGCTGACGGCTGCAAAAGCTGCAGCACGCCTGAGCTGCGTTAGGAAACCCAGGTTTTTCCCTTCATGCAGGGAACTACAGCATGGCTTTTGGCTTTCTGAGACGTGTACTGGGGAAAGGATGGGCCTGTAAGGTCTCCCTGAGCAGGGCACTGCCAGGTCCAAGCCAGAAAGATCCAACCCTGCAAGCAAGGCCAGAGCTTGCTAGGACTCAAGAGGGCAGAGCCCGAGGTCAGCTTATTGGAAAAAACAAATGCAAAATAAGGAAGGGAAAAAAGCAGGTGTACTTTTCCAATCACTTGCCCTTCTCTGTACCCAGCACCCTTTTGTCCTGTTTGGACGGGAACAATGGGGTCCCTTGCTGCACAGCACAAATGTCAGGACTGGCAGAAAGAGCCAAAACACACTGTATTTTTAAACCTGCATGCCCAAGTTGCTGGACCAAGCACCCCAGTTAAAAGCTGCTGGAAAGCTGCTTCCACTCCCAGTCCCCACCACCCTGCCTTCCCCCACCTGGGCTCTGTGTCTCTGCAGCTGAAGCAAAAAAAAAGTCCTGACGGCAAGAAATAGTGGCCCCAACTCCAGAATTTATATAAAATAATCCCCCCAACTCTGAATGAGCTCAGTGATATGTCAATGAGATGACGTGTTTATTGTTTGACAAATGGAAACTAGCTTGGACTGCTTAAATGCTAATTACTAGGCAAAAGTGTTGCTCTCCTGGGATGAACACATTGGAGTGGTGATTAAGCAGCCAGGGCAAGCTGACTGGTTCTTAGAGCCAATACTGTTAAATTTGGCATTTTTACCTTAATTGAAGGGTATTTAATACCTCTGTCAAACCACGCATCTTAGTCTTCACGAGCAGCTCTCTCATGCCCTCCTGTTCCTTTGCACGACTGAGTTTTTCCATTTCAGCTGGGCTGCAAAGGTTCATCCGACACGATGCAAGTGCCCAGGACTCCCACCCCCTTTCAGCAACAGCCTCCACCGGCAGCAACCAAGAAAAGCAGAACAGAAGCTGAAATGCCATCCCAAAAGCACCTCTCACATCTACATCATGCCAAGAGAAAAGTTAGCAATAACTCCAGAGCCCAGCACAGTTAAAACACTTATTTAGGGCCTCTTCTGCATCTAAACCTTAACTGCATCTCTAGCTTCCACTGTATACTGAATTTAGCTCCATGGTGATTTAAGTGTATCAAAAGGAAGAAATTTTTTATGATGAGGGTGTTGAAACACTGGCACAGGTTGCCCAGAGAGGTGGCAGATGCCCCATCCCTGGAAACATTCAAGGCCAGGTTGGACAGGGCTCTGAGCAACCTGATCTAGTCGAAGATGTCCCTGCTCATTGCAGTGGGGTTGGACTAATGGCCTTTAAAGGCCTCTTCCAAACCAAACTGTTCTGTGAAATACAAGATCATAAAAACAACCACGCAGCGAGCGTGGTCTGCTTGCAGCTCCCCCTTTCTCCGCAGGGTTCCCAGGCACCATGGTCCCAGCTGGGCTCCAGCCTGAAATCCCTGGGGATGACAGTGGCCAAGCGAAGCCACACAGTCCTCACCAGGAAACATGCGTGACAGTGCTGGGAAGAGGAGACACCAGCATTACCTCCCCTTTGGGCAGCTGGAAGCGCCCAACTCCAAAGAGCAAACCCTGTTTCATCTCAGGGCTCAAGCTCCAGCTCTGTCCTAGGCGCAGCTCCCCCCTTCCCAGGCGAGGAGGTCCTTTTTCTCCTTGCTGCCAACTTCACCCGCTGCCAACGCAAGCCTGGTCCTCTCCACAAAGCAGCTGAACCTCCAGGAATTGATCCTGAAGGGTCCCAGGGACAGGCAGGACCACGGGGCTGGCAGCAGGGGAAGGCAGAAGCATCCCTCTCCTCCCCTCCACCACCAGGACTGGAGTTATAATGTTGGCTTGTAACTCCTCTCCACTACCAGGAGTTATGTTGTTGGCTCAGCTGACGACGAAGCTGCAGTTTTGAGCCTCCCACCTTCCAAGAAAACGCCCTAACCATGAAGCAATGAGCTAGACAGGGCCCTAGCCTGCAAACCACTCAGTTTACGGGGCCAAAAAAAATAAGCAAGAAGGAAACAAACATTTTAGCTCAACTACCAATACCTTGGCCTGGGAGGCAGTGCTCCAAGCACTCATCCAGAAGCTCTCTGTTTTCCAACAGCCCTTGGGGGACACATGGAAACTCTCCAGGGAGCAGGGATGTGAACCAGGGAGAAAGAGCTTCACACTTCCCCAGCCTTCAAAACAAGATTTCACTCCAAAGAAGTTGCAAACAAAGTCGTGGCAGGGGAAGGGACCAGGCTGTGGAGTAGGACACCGTGCTCAGGAGTGGACCCTGATCCAGAAAAATTAATTCCTTTAGTAATTGCTGCTCTGCCAATTTCTACACTGTGCTTATTTTGCATTTCCCTCTTTTGCCCCTAAACTCTTCAACAGAGCTACTGTGCTTTGAAAATTAATTTCTTCTGATCCACTACAGTCAGCTGTAATTGAGCAGCAATCCCTGGGCGGCCGTAGGTTGCAAAGATCCGGCAATAGCATTTTTAGGATGCCAGGCAAAAGTTTCTGTGCCCTGAGGGGAGGGAGCCTTCCTGATCCCAGCAAACTGCAATGCAAGGATTAAAGAACAGAAAAAACACTCAAGAAAGGTAACTGCAGGAAGATGAAGGCAAGCACACCCTATATAGACACTGCTAACAGGTTTCAAGGTGTTTTGTTGATTGCTTTTTTTTTTTTTTCCTTAGTTTCTACATTAGAGTGGAAAAAAAGTTTAATTCTTGGCGCCACTCATACCTTTCCACACAGCCCCAGCCAAGCCGCTCAATTTCTTTGACTTTCCTGTAAAACAGGCTGCAGCCACCGTTTCATAAATGCTGGGTGACAGCTACGGGGCAGCATCCAAAATGCCAAACCAGGGTTTGGAAACCCAACAGATAATCCAGTGTCCAGGCTGGCGCCTCAACCGCAGCATTAGATGTGCCTAGTGCAACTTGTAGGAAACCCTAATTTTGACAGTTAACCCAATTTAGGATTAATTGGAGAGATCTGCATACTGAATTCAGTAATTACTACATGAATATAAGGAATTATATAAAGCATATATATACGCACGAAGCCCTGGGTCAGCCGAGCTTTGCATCCTCTGTTACTATTTACCATCTGAAGCTTCCCCGCGCCAGTCAGCAAAATTTGTCCAGCAAAAACAGAGCGTGCAGCAAACCCCCTGCGATGACCACGTAGGTTTTGAGGCAGCTGCTTCCAAAAGCACCTTCCAGGCAGGGTCCGGACCCTCGGTCAGCCCTGGGATTTTCGCTCACCCCGTCCCGGCGGCCAGCGCCAGCCTTGGCACCGCCAGGACACATTCCCAGGGTGTCACAAACAGGACAGGGCCTGGCGTCGCGTTTAGCTGAGCGCGGAGGAGCTGTGACGCCCGTCCCCAGGCCTGTTCAGGGCGCGGGGCGGAGGGGGGGGAGATGAGTTACACCCCCCCCCCCCCCCAGCCAACTCGGACGTGTAAAACCCCACGTCGCGCCGCGCTGAGCATCGCCCCGCCAGCTCAAGCAGGGAGGAAGAAGAGGGAGCGTTTCCCAGCAGCTCAGCTACAGAAATACGGTGTACGCATGGATCACCTCCTCTTGGGCAGCTCTTACCGGGGACCCTCGGCGTCGGGGTGCGGGGGGACATCGCACCCCTCACCTCCCAGTTCTCCCCCCCCCCCCCAAACTCACCGCAGCTCTCCATCCAGGGCTTGAATAACAGCGGCGAAACTTCGGCTGGTCTGGTTGAGGTACTGGTAGCAGGTACGGAGCCCGCGTCCCAACGAGTCCTGCGGGCAGAAAGGGGAGCGGGGGGGCGGCGGTTGGAGGCGGGGGGCGACCGCCGGCGGGGCCGGGGGGACCCCCCGCTGCTGCTGCTGCTGCTGCTCCCCCCGCCCGCCGCCCCGCAGCCGCCCCAGCGCCCGGGGGGGACCCCGCGGGGGGGAAAGGGCCAGAGTCCGCTTGAAAAGGGACACGGCTTTGGTGCTGGCCGCCATGGGGGAGCGGCGGCAAGGGGGGGGGGGGGGGGGGGGCGCGGCTGCTCCACCCCCCCCCCCCCCTCAGCCTCCCCGCCCCTTTAACCCGCTCGGCGCCGCGCAATGCCTTGCGCGGAAAGCGGGAAAGCCTGAAACCGGGGCAAACGCGATACCCGGTGCCGAGCACGGCGGGGGAGGGGGGGGGGGGGGGGGGGGGGAGATGAAAAAAAAAAAGCCTTGCCGGGGCAAAGCAGCCGTTGCAAAACGGCGGAGCCCGCGTTCAGGGCGATGCGCGGCAACGCAACGAGCAAAGCGGGGTTGCGCGGGGGGCGGTGCGCGCCCAGCCCCGCAACCGGCGTAACGCTGCAAGGCGCGGGAAGCCAGGAGCCGGCACCGCGGGCCGCGCAACGCTCCACCCGTGGCAACGGGAGATGACAACCCCCCCCCCCCCCCCCCCCCCACCACCACCTCCTTCCTCATCCTCCTCCTGGATCCCGCACCACCGCGGCAGCGCATCCTCCCAACCCCCCCCCCCCCCCCCCCCCATCTCCGTGCAGCGCCCGCTCGACGGAGAAGGCGAAGCGCATCCCGCGCCGCTCACCGGGTCGATGCGCGGCATGACGGCCCGGTAGCCGCCCATCTTGAAGCGCAGCAGGTTGTAGATGTCCTCGGGGTGGCCCAGCCATTTCCTCAGCAGCTCCATGGGGGCCGCGCTCATCCCCCCCCGCCGCTGCCGCCGCCGCCGCCCCCCCAACACCCGGTGCTTAACCGGAGCCGGGCTGGACCCGCCTCCGCCCCGCCCCTCCGCCAATCAGCTCGCTCGCCCCATGGCTCGGTGGGCCGGCGAGGCGCTTCATTGGCCGGGGCACCGTCGCACCAGGGGAGCGCCAGCCAATGGGAAGGCGGAGAGGGCTGGTGTGACAGCGGCCGGCCGGCGCTGATTGGGTGGCGTTGCCCGTCGCCACACGCAGAGCGGGAAGGACCGGCTGGCCCACGCACGGCCGCGACCCACGGAGCCCCGTGGGGGTCCGGGGGAAGGCACAGCACCCTCCCGAGGCTCCCAGCCCCTTTCCCCCCCCCCCACCCCACCCCGCGGGTCCTCAGGCAGCCCCGGCTGCGGCCAGGCCCTGCTTCAGTCGTGAGGGGGTTTTTTTGTTTTGTTTGGTTTTTTTTTTTTTTGGTTTTTTTTTTTTTTACATCATCTTCCATCCTTTTCCTCTAGCAGCATTTCTCTGACGTCACCCTTCCCTCAGCCTGCCTCACCCCACCACCTTGCTTAGCGCCCTGCCTTTGGCTCAGCCAGCTGCCATCTCACCCTTCAAGCCATGAGGTGCTGCTTTTGGGATGTTTTTTTTTTTGTTTTTTTTTTTTTTTTTTTTTGTTGCTGTTGTTTTCCTCGTAGGAGGGCACCGAAAAGCCCCTGCCTCATTTCCAGGCCGTTGCCAACACGCTCAGAAGCAACATTAACCATCTTTGGCACCGTAACCCCATTAATTGGATTAATCAACCCCATAACCTGCAACCACTCACAGCTAAGAGGGGAGGCTGTGCAAGTCCTGTCTGGGAAGCAGCCTGCTGCTGAGGTATAACTCCAACATTCCCTGTGGATTTACAGTCCACTCCTAAATGCATTTCCCATTAAAAATTTTCCTGCTGAGCCACTCAACACAGCTGAGGAAAGCTGCTGGTACCATCCTCTGCAGGGCAGCACCAAAACACTGGAGTTACCCAGTTTTTAACCAAGAAACTACCAGGAAAGACACACCGAACACCACCAGTTCTAACTCCAGCTTTTATTTTTCACTCAAGTCAACAATCTGTTGTTAAAGCAAGCCCACATCCAAGGAGAGAGGACAGCAACAGCTTCTGCCTGCTGCATAGTGACACAGCTCAACATAGGAAGGACCACGCCACCTCCTATTTCCAAACCCTTCTGCTTTCAACTTACCTTGCAGAACGTGAATTTAATGCAACCTCCGTCACAAACATTGTTAGACATGCCCCAGATCTGCCAGTCTTGTGATCCCAGTTGTAACTAGTGACCTGACTGAGCTTCACAGTCCCTCCCTTAGGGGCCACCCTTATAATCTGTTAAAGCAGTATAGTTGGGTGGATTTTTTTTTTTTTTTTTTTTTTAACCTGGAGATCTGGCAGTTTGCCACAAAACTGAGATTGCATGGGGGCAGAGTTAAGGCCCACCAAGCCCTACTGAGGTTTGTTTTCTCTCCTCAGGAGGCAGCTGTTCCTGTAAGAGCTTTAACCATACCTAATCACAGCCTGAACACACAGGTATTCAGATACTAGCAGAGGCAGGATTATCTAATACCAATTTAATCAGGCTGTTTAGGCAGAGGGATGCACTCTTTTCCACTAACTCCACCATAAGCCATTGCACCCACACCAGGCTCAAGGGACAGGGTCACTCCAGACCACAGTAATCACCCACTCAGCACCCTACACTTTCCATTCACTGTAGTCTGAACACGGGGACCAAGGCACCTCAGGACTAGTCAAACTATTTATACTGTTGTGTCACCATGAGAAAAACTGATAGATACATACAACCACTTTCTGCATTCAGAGGCACACAGTACTGCAGTGATTCCTGTAACCTCTACTGAGCACCTAAATCTGCCAATTCACTGTCCCCAAGGAGCAAACTCGGCCTCAAAGAAACCACGAAGACCTTCTCAGGACAGCTAAGAGCACAGTTCAGAGACCCCAGACACCCTCTGGGAAAGGAGGAACGCAAAGCCAGGTCACTCAGTGACTGGGGAAGGATCCCCATCCCCTGACAGCACCTCAGGCTGGCACTGAGGACACCACCATGTAAGTCTCTTAAAGCCACCCGAGGGTCCAAGGGTTTCCTTCATCACTGCATGCCCAAGGGGACACTGCTCCTTCTGGTAAATCTGAGGGTGCAGTCCTTTGCCATGCAGCTTGCTCTGCAGCCAGTCCGAGCTGAACTGAATGGCGCAGTCAAGCAGACGCTCCAGATCTGAGAGAGCCAAGAGAGAGCCTTGTGTTAACGGATGGATCTTGGCCAGGTACAAGATCTCATTCTTAATGATGTTCCCTGGAAAGGGTCAGAAACAAGGAGACAATAAGGATATTTCTTGTCAAGATGACGCAGACCTATGGCTCCAATCTGTCACTTCTGCCTCAAGGATCACAGCTAGCAACACCATTCCCCCCATCAGAGGTGGCATACAAAGAATAGACGTATAGCTAGGCTTGGACTGGAAGATGTTCTCCTCCCATGACCCTTGAAACAGACCTCCCTTTCTTCCACATGTACAAGCCAATTCATAGTCACCCACACTATGACAGTTCACCGGGCACCGCGGTGCACTCAAGTGTCTGAAGCCTGTGGCTACAGACTGCAAGGCTTGTCTTCAACAAGATGAGCCCATACCCTCAGCTGGATCAACCAGAAGCCGTAAGGCTAAGGAGTAAAAAGCTCAGACATGCAACTCTGGACCTGTAGACGTTCCCCCCCACCACCACCTTCCTCCATTTCTTGCTCTGCCGTTATGCCCTGGAACTCACCCAGCCCTGAAAAATATCTTTGGTCTAAGAGGGTGTAGCAGATGGGATCGGGTGTGCAGAGGGCATCCAGCGCCCGGCCACGGTGGAACTCCACAGACAGGATGTCAGAAGCAGGATCAGCCCTTGGAGATGAGCACCAGTGCATTCGGCAGTTGTAGAAAGCGAGGAAGCCTCCACCCTCAAAGTACAGAACCAGCCTGGGAGAAGCAAAGAATTTGAAGTCTCTCATCAGAAACATCCCTGAACCATTTATTACATTCTGTTCTGGCTGAAGAAACTTCCACAGAAAGACAGCAGCGTAACAGTGATGTGAAAAGCTACTGGAAGGTGAGAAAAGAGGCTGTACGTGCCATAAGCTTAGGGAGAAGCGCACAGAGGCATCAGCCCTCACACATGCCTACTCCTTCTCATGACAGCCAGGGAGACGTCTTGAAGTACCAGTCTCCTAGACCCCCCCAGGCAGGACTGCCACAGTTCAAGTGGGAATCAAAGGCTGTATCCTATTCCAGCCACTCCTCTGCAGATTTTCACTACACTTGCTCGTATGCACGGGGTCACAGCAGGCCTGGTGTGATGGAGTGCCACCACCTCAGTGCAAGGTAGTCTCTTTAATGCTTCCAGCCAAGCAACTTGGTTGCAAACACACACAACTTGTGGAGAATTGTTCATTCTCTTGCTCTGTGGTCCCTAGCTGAGAGGCAGCAGAAGCAGGGATATGTATCAGCATCTTGGACCTGACCGTCTTAAAAATACTTGGACAGAAATAAAGTAATCATAGAATGGTTTGGTTTGGAAGGGACCTTTGAAGATCATCTAGTTCCAACCCCCCTGCCATGGGCAGGGACACCAAAATCCTTCAAAAGAAGGATTCCTTCCTTCACCCTTCAGGAAGGGATATCCTTCAAAAGATTTCAGGATGGGGGCATGAAGTGTGTCCCTAACAAGTATAACCCATACACAGGGGGCCAGACCCACCTTGTACATTATTAACCACTCACGTTAAATGGCTCACAAGAACAGAGTCCAGACTATTTTCCAGTAGTTACCCCTTGTTCAGTGGGACTTAGGACACAGACCATGGCCTGTGTTTTCAACACACCGCTTCCTTTATCTGCATCACTCCAGCTTGTGATTCCAGCTGCCTTAGATATATGCTATTTACCCAAAGCTTTTTTTAAACATGGAATAGGAGAAACTGGTATTTTCAGGGCATGATTCAGTCTGGCATCCTAAAAGTTCTCTCTCTGAATAAAAATCTTAACTGTGATGATACTACGATCCTCAGGCTGGCAGGCAACATACATCCCACAAGTGCACTGTGGATTCCTTGGTTAAACACACCCCACACCCACGCATGCCATCTTCCATGACCTACTTATCTTAAGAATTATCAGAGAAGACAGGGCTAAGAGCATCCCCACACAATTTAGCTGGGGACAGAAGAGTGCCTCTCCAGAATGAAGGGCAGGGAGAGAGCAAAGTTTGTGAGGACTCCACTAAATACCTGGCTGTAGGGTCCTTCCAGTCCCCCCTCTTATTGGCTTTGCTTGCTCTTGAGAACTCATTTGCCCGAACACTGCCAAACAAACCGAAGTGGAAGCGCAGCCAGCTGCCCGGACAATTTGCTGCATCTGGGACTTCATATCTTGAGCAGTGGATTTCCTGCAGCTCCTTATCCTGGGGATGTGTCTGTGGAGAACCAACCTGTTCTTGCCCTCCCTGGTCAGGAGAACTTGCCCCACAAGCAGCCTCTCTTTGCAGCACTGTTTCTTCTGCAGTTGGTCCTAAGGGACCTTCAGCTGCCACAAATGCCAGGTACAAGTTCTTCCCATGAACCTGAGAAAAAAAGGTGGGCTGTACCGAGCATCCATATAACCTCTGGCTGTTTCTGTACAAGTGACTATTTATTACCACCTCTTTTAAATAGAAAGCACATCACCCCACCCGGAATATGGGATTCGTTAGCATCTGAGCTGTTCTCATCAGAGCTGCAGTCATCATCTCAGTAACCCTTCCTTGTCTACACGAAGCGCAGCATGTTCAGATGCCTCTCCAGGGTGAAGCCCTCCCAGAAGGTCCTGTCAGGCCAAAGAGGCACACCGGGACAGACAGACAGGGTTTTGAAGTCCATCATCACTGCTTCTCATTCACCACCCCCACTCTGTGCTGGCCTCAAGCGTCTCAGGCTGGGGTGATCTAACTCAAGGGTGGCTCTGAAGCCACAG